TCAGAGTGGTGGTCAGGAAGCTTAAGGAGGGGGCAGTTAACTTTCTAGCTGCGGCTTCGAATAACTTTGTGACCTGGGAGGAGACGCCCGTTTTAGACCGGCTTTCCCATCTGTAATCAGCGGACTGAAGAGCCCCTGTGGCGGACTTCAGCTCGATGGCGTGGATGCGAGCGGGAGGGTCTTGCGGTGGCCTGGCCCGCGTTCGGGGCGCGGGGGGCGCACTGCGAGGCCCACAGGGAAACGGCGGCGCGCGTGGCTCGGGCGCACTCACCGAACGTTGGCCGGGCTCTCATGCTAATATTTGGTTCCTGGTGTCAGTGGAGCAGCGAGCTTCGTTCCTTGGCATGTCATTATTTGGGGTTCCCTTAAGTCTTTTTCTCCAAGTGGCTGAACCAGATTCCTGGGTTGGAGCCACCTCTGTGTGAACGGGGCACCTTGCTCCAGGCCGTCCCCTAAGTGTCTGCTCAGAGGACTAGGGTGCCTGGACCGCAGGCATCTCCTCCTTTTCACCCCCACAAAGTTTCTTCTTATTTTGGAGAATTGACATTCATATAATATAATATTTATTCTTCCAATCTGGTTTTGTTTTAAATTTTTAAAAATACGACTTTTTGAGTTAAATGTAGCCCTTATGGTTTTGTTTGGACTTTTTTTTTTTTTTTTAAATGATTCTTGGTTGTTTTATGAGTGGGATCCCGTGTCTCATTACATTTTCTGGTGGCTTATTGTTAGGGCAGTATAATGTAATGGTTTTTGTGCATAAACTCGGCCAGGCCCTGTCACTTACTAGCTGTGTCACCTTATACAAGTTTCATAACCTATCTGTTCCTTAGGGTGTTTTTAATTTCTAAAATCAAGATAATAATACCCCTTTCAGGATTAAATGAGTAAATACATTAAAAAGCACTTAATACAGTGCCTGGTACATAGCCCTCAAAAACTCTTAGCTGTTGTCACGGCTGGCGTCTAGCACAGTTTTTGGTCAGATTACTGAACTCTTGTTTGTGTTGGTACATTGTCTGTTAATTGTCTCGAAAGTTCTAGGTCCATAATTATATCAGATGAAAAGAGTATCGAGTGAGGTGTGTTCTTCCTTTCTTTCATTTTTCTAGAGAAATTCTTTACCGGGATTTTCAGCACATTGTCACATAGAGGTGGATGGTTTCTGTGTCTTTGTAGTGACATCCCAACCTTCTTTTATATTATCTGTATACCATCATTTGTAATCAATTTTATGTCTTTTTTTTTTTTAACTCTGTTTTGACATGAACATTTTTCATGTTGCTTTACATTACTTGCTCTGGGTTATATCTAAAGTTTCACATTTTGAAATATAGTAATATTAGTAGATAAAACATATGTAAAGTTTAAGTAATGATGATAATAGGAGTATCTGTGTATGCATCTAGCTTAAATAAAATATTAGGAGGGACTTAGGAGCTGCCTTTCCTGAATTGTATGGAGAATTTTTATCATTATTTCCTTGCTTTTGTTTTTCCTTTTACCACCAGTGTCTACATATTACCATAAAGGTGTATTATAATTTACTAAATAGTTCCCTTATTTTTGATTATTTAGATGGTTTTGCATTTTGGATGTTGGGAATAGAGCTTTTCCCTCATTGAAGATCATTTCCTTGGGATAGATTCTGAGAAGTGGAATTAGTAGGTTAAAGGGTATGACTGTTTTAAAGGCTTTGAACAAATATTGATCATCAAATTGCTTTCCAAAAGGCTTGTATCAGTTTATGTTTCCAAATAGCAATGTGTATGTGTTGGATCATTCCAGCCCAACACCCGTCAACACTGAGGGTTGCTAACAGGAAAGGCAAGAAATATACTCCTAGTGAGTTTGAATTTTTTAAAGACCAGTTAATTTTTGAAAGATACTCTGTACACATAAATGTTCACATGCCACTAGGGTTTGCCTTGATACATTTTTATAAGGAGAACACAGCTTCGTAAATAACAAGTTAGATGAAGAAACAGAACATTATCTGCACCGCAGACGCCGTTCTGTCCTCACATCCAGTTTAAAGACCGTGTTGTCTGCTAAACCCGCTGAAGAGAGAACACAGACGTTGCTTTGGCCACTTTAGTTTTGACAGCCAGCAGTCAGTTTTCAAATCATGAAGGACGCCCGGCCGGCGTGGCTCAGCGGTTGAG